CGCTATATATATATATATATATATAGAGGTTGTTATTTTTCCTTATTCATATGAGGTAATAGTGTAGCAATGTATACATTATTTGGTTATGTGCATTATTATCTAAGTCTAATACAATTGTGATCTTTTTTAATTTGCAGAAAGATTTGAGCATGAACTTTAGGAATAAGGAAGAGTTGGTTGACATGAAGGAAGGACTTAAAGGAAGAAAGATGGTGAATATTGAAGATTACCCCCCGACAGGACCAAGTCATCCTATTGCCTCAAAATTGGAAGGAAGAATGATGATGAATATTGAAGATTACCCTCCAACTGGACCAAGTCATCTTGTTACTTCGAAATCAGAAGGAAGAATGATGATTAATATTGAAGATTATCCCCCAACAGGACCAAGTCATCCTATTGCCTCAAAATCAGAAGGAAGAACAATGATGAATATCGAAGATTACCCCCCAACAGGACCAAGTCATCCTGTTGCCTCAAAATCAGAAGGAAGAACAATGATGAATATCGAAGATTATCCCCCAACAGGACCAAGTCATCCTATTGCCTCAAAATCAGAAGGAAGAACAATGATGAATATCGAAGATTACCCTCCAACTGGACCAAGTCATCCTGTTACTTCAAAATCAGAAGGAAGAATGATGATGAATATTGAAGATTATCCCCCAACAGGACCAAGTTATCCTATTGCCTCAAAATCAAAAGGAAGAACAATGATGAATATCGAAGATTACCCTCCAACAGGACCAAGTCATCCTATTGCCTCAAAATCAGAAGGAAGAACAATGATAAATATCGAATATTACCCCCCAACAGGACCAAATCATCCCATTACCTCAAAATCTGAAGGAAGAATGATGATGAATATTGAAGATTACCCCCCAACAGGACCAAGTCATCCTATTTCCTCTAAATTAGAAGGAAGAATGGTAATGAACATTGAAGATTATCCCCCAACAGGACCAAGTCATCCTGCAACCTCTAAATCAGAAGGAAAAAGGATGATGGGTTTTAAAGATTACCCCCCAATTAGACCAAGTTCTCCCGTTACCCCAAAATCCCTTTGAAAACCATAGGTTTTTTTAATCCAATATAGTTAATAATTTAGGCCCTAATTATGAGTCTTATTACTATGTAGTCAAACTAAATAAATGTCATTTTGGTTGCCATGAATGATATTAAGGTGTATTCCGATATCTTTCTTTCTTGCTATTTCTTTATTCATATATATCTATCTAAATTAAATATGATTTAATTGAATTGACAAGTATTTGGACTTCTAGTGTACAAATCCAAGCAAAAAGTAAGATGAGGTTACAACAAAAATATAAAAATTAGCGAGAATTTTAAAATATGATAATTTTGGTTTCATTAGGATTCAAAGAAAAGACTATATAAACAAACTCTACTTGAGACATAGAAAAGTTGCTCCTATTATCTTAATCAAAAGCTATTTGCTTTCAAAATTTAGCTTAATTTTTTTAAAGCTTTTAATATAAAAAAAAAAGTGTTTGACCAAACTTTTCCTTTTAAGGAAAAAAAAAGTTGAAAAAAGATCAGACCAAATAAATTGTTCAAAATTAGATAATCAAACTCTTAACATACTTAAAAGTGTTTATTTCTTAGAATAATGTACTTTTAGGAATCATATTCACATAAATAATATATTAAAAACATATTATTTCAAGAAATATAAAAAGAAAGTATTTGATTTATTTTAATATTATTAAGAGTATTTTCTAAATTTTAAAATGATTTAAACAAAAAAAAAATAGATTTACAAATGTCATAAAAAATAACTTGATATTTTTGTAAAAATATTACTTAGAAAATGTTGTTGTATGAAATTCTACCAACAATTCTAACCTTCACTTTATATTCTAAAAAATGGAGAAAGATAACTTGAATCACAGCTCCACCGGACTTTATTAAAAATTTTGGCATCAGGTCCGTTCAGAAATCAGAACATCTCAAATCTGAGGCAAAGAATGTCGGCAATGTTCATCAGAGCAGAAAACGTCGTCGTTTCCGATAACTAAGTCACATTCTCTCTCTCTCTCTCTCTCTCTCCAATGAGGCCGCACAAGCAAGTACCCTCCGTTAACCGGAGACCCACCGTTCTGTATCTGGTGTGTGCGGCTGCATTCTTCTCCCTGTTCCTCTTCTACCTCCAATCCTCTTTCTTCGCAGGTATTCGCCCTAACCATTCCAATTCCAATTCCCCTTCGCGTTTTCTTTATTTTCACCCCAATTCGCGTTTTCAGGCTCTCTCTATTCGGATCGCAACTCCGAAACAATCCGCGTCTTGTCTAACTTCCAGTCCACTGTTCAGCACTGTGTTGTAACTCTTGGATCTGATGTGTCTAATCATTTCTCAATTAACTGCTTTGTCTTTTATTTAATAATTATTATAAAAAAAAATTTAGATGTCGGAAGATGTTGCTGAGGTTGAGGTTGGGAATTGAAACAGGATAACAGGGGGCTTGGACTCACTGCACATGTTGTTGATCATTGCAAATTGATCCTTAAATACCCCAAAGATACCAACAGCACTTGGGTATGTCGTTCTGTCTCTGGAGTACTCAGTTCTCTTATTTGATTCAGTTTTCATCGGAAGATGTTAGAGATCACACATTGGCTACTGATGTTGCTAAAATAATGTGTATAAGTGAGGGGTAGCACTTACCTCTTATGCTAGCTTTTGGGGTTGCATTGGACTTAAAATTTAAATTATAAGATGATATTAGAGTTTAATTAGTCTATTCTAGTTGTTGTTGTTGGCCTATCAAGTCACTCACTATCAATTGGTTATTGGGCGACCTTCAAATGTCCTAACTTTGGTGTAAAGGGTGTGTGTTGGAAATTCTATGCTGACCTTTGATATGGATAAAATAGCGTTTATAAGTGGTGGTATTTCTCATATTTTAAGCTAGTTTTTAGAGTTTAGTTAGGTCCAAAACCCAAATTATAAGAATAGTCAAATGCTGATTTTTTTGTTTTCCATGTTTCAATGATTGCAGTACAATACGCAGTTTAACAAATTTGAGGATTTGGAGTACCATTATGATGTGTGTGAGACAATCCTACTGTGGGAACAGGTGCATTGTCACGTCATCCCTTTTGTCCTGGTTAAGTTGTATTTTCCGGATGAATATTTACAAGTGTTGAGATTTTGCAGTATCGGAACATGACTACGGTGTTGACCAGAGAGTATCTTGATGCTCGCCCTGGTGGTTGGATGGATTATGCTCCACTAAGGATAGCGCAATTGTATGGATCT